ACTCGGTTGGGACGCCGCTCTCTGAGATTCTCTAATATCCCTTTTCAGTACGCACTGGTCTAGAGGTAATTCAAACCAAAAGAAAACACAGATACCTTTCAAGGACCCGGGACATTTGGGCAACAGCCTCGAACCCGTGAATCACTTCAAGACTTCAAGATACAGTCTCCAAGCGTTCGTTTTTGTGAGCCGTACCTAACACCGACCGTGGTTGTGATCGCCTGTTGGAACTAACTGTTGTGCTACTGATATCAGCTGCCTTGGATTGTCTTTCCTTGGTGTCAGATTTAGAGTTCGATTATTACGTCAGAAGCAGTCTATTACAACTGGTGGCAGCGGTGGGATCCAAACAATGGAAAACTACGACCCACCCGAAATTATACAAAAAATGAAAAAAGGATTNTTCCGTGCTCAAATATACCTGCAACATGTTCCCACTGAACACTTTGGACAGTGCATCCTTCCCCTTTTGGACGACGACTCCGCCCGCCAGCTCCTAGCCTCGGGAACCCCTATAACGTCTACTCCTGATCTGGGCGGCCCTTCACGAATTTTTCGCCAGGCACGAATTAGTACCTGTGTTCCTCGAGAAGTTCTTCGCGAGGAAGCAATTCCATGCCGAATCGGTTGACCAATACACAGCCGTCCTCCGTCCTGTGAAAACTCCAAGACTCAACTGAACTGAACTGAATTTTGACGTGCCCTCTGCTACAACCTATTTATACTAACAAAGTGGAATATCTACCGATATCTCACTTATTATACACTGCCTGGGTTAAACCAAGTCACTTTTTATAATTCAGTGACCGATCACAGGTGACTCAGTTTTACAGAGTTCGCGGTAGTATTTCGTTTTGCATAAACAGTTTTTTTACTCTTTTTGTGACGTACATCTGAGTTCCATTTTTCCATTTCTTCAGTTTTCCAGTTTTGAAAGTAGTCATTTTATCGGTGGTAAATTTTTTAAATTTTTCCACCTTTCAATTTCTGCACGGAATGAGGTGAACGACTGTGGTGGCTGTGGAGAGTTTGTGGCCGAGGGTGTCCAGTGCGAATGGTGCCAACTTTGGTATCATAAGCCGTGTAGTAAGCTGATAAAAAGTGCTATGACATATACACGATACATAGTTCCCTGCGATGGGTCTGTGTCCATTGTATAGCGCTGATAGAGGAATGCTCACGCATCCCCTAAGGAGACAAAACCTCGGGTGCCAAAAGAAAGAAAGCACACCGTTAGGAAATCCGGGAACCAGATGCCAATACGAAAGGAAAAACTACCGCAGTAGCTCAAGAGTTGGACGCGGAGGGTATGGCCAGTATAAAAGACAGGTTGGAACAGCTTGAAAAAGAGCTGAAACTTTTGAAAGAAACTAATCAAGCAATCCCAGGAAGAGCTAGAAATATACTCCTTCATAACTGCGTGGAGCCCGTGATTAGAGACTCCAAGTCTCGACACGAGGCGGACCGGAAGTATGTGCAGACCGCGCTTAGGGGAGCGGGGATGCTTACCATAACGGGAATTATGAAGTGTCATAGGGTGGGACTATGGAAAGGCGAAAGAGCCACCCAACCCCGGGCTATATTGTTAGCCCTCACGAGTGTGTATGCCATTGACCGCCTATTGTCGAGATCAGCGGCAATAGAGAGCATTACCAGGGGCGGCATAATTGTCACCCCAGATAATGGTACGGTGATCCGTAGAACAAACTGGCCACCCACCAGTAAACAGGNCGCAGAATGCAGTAGTTAAGCTGAGAAGGGTAGGGGAGCCCGAAAAACCTAGATCGGCGACTAAATCAACGAAGGCCCAAGATCAGGTGTGCACACCAAAGGGCACACAAGGACCGAAGGGTACACCGTTGAGTAAGTCAACGCCAAAACCTAAAGGGAATCCGCTGCGAGAGCTAAGGGGTAGTGAAGCGAAAGCGGTTGGAGCGTAAACCCTGCTTTAGTTCTTCGAAAGCGTGTATAGGACCCCAGTCGACTATGATAACCCGGCGTT